GTTTAGCATCATATTGTATTTTTGAATATGTGTGAAAATGTCCATAACAAAAAGTTATGTTTTTTTAAATCCTTGTCTCGCCATGCATACCAAAAATTTTTGGATTTTAAAACTCCACCCTATGAAAGGAAACCATACAGCTTGAAGTATTTGCATGCTACCAAGTCACTGTCTCTTTATGGTGTTATGGTTATTTGTTTAAGGCCCTTAATTTAAAAAATTGTTCTAGACTTTTAAAAAAAGGTAATCGCAAGGTACAAAAAGAAAACATATATAACTGTTTATATAGTCTTCAGGTAGGGCTGGACTTACTAAGCATGATAACAAAATCAGAAATCCTAAAGATTTTTACTGAAGCAAACTATCAGCTTTATTGTACCAGTAAAGACTGTAAATAAGCCAATCAACACTCTGGAGAAAACCATTTGTAGTATATAAATGACAAGGGATCAATATTAGGAAAAGCCTTTGAAAGTCACTAAGAAAATATGAATGTTCAATATAAAAATGAGCAAAATAGTGCATAGGCAAAGTCACCAAAGAAATGTAAACGACTGCTAAAATGTGTAAAAAATATATCCAGCTATAGTAATCAGAGAAAGGCCAGTAAAACAGCCAGGACACTTTTTACTCTCAACTTGGCAAGAGTCCAGTGAGGCCAAAGGTGAAGCTGAGTTGGGCTGCAGTTGGTAGATGCTGGGAGCCACTGAAAGAGCATGAGCAGGAGTGGTCTGTAGACAGAGGAGTCTGGTGCCTAATAGGGGACAGAAGAGGGCCCCGAGCTGAAGCCCGGGCCAGCTCTCTGGGTGTGAGGAAGAGCACAGAGCAGGAGAGGAGAACCGCTGAAGAAAAAAATCTACAGGCCTTGATGGTGAGCGGAGAGCAAAGTCCAGATGGCCAGTGGTGTGGTGTGACTGGGAGGACAGTGGCACCGTTGAAGGAAAACAGGGATGGATCCTGGGGAGTGGGTGAGGGCAAGTCCAAGATTTGCTTTTTGACACCAGCGGTCATTGTGTTAGTCTAGAGTTTCATTACTGGTGACTGGCAACCAAGTCCAACGATTTGGGCTACAAAAAGAATTTGCTGCCTCTCACAAGTGACAAGTCCTGGATTGAAGTTTCAGGCACATCTGGATCTGGATGTTCAAGGGAGGTCATCAGGAGTCTTTGTGTTCTTCTTGCCCAAGGAGGACAGAAATGGCCACAAGCAGCTCCAGGCTCACATTCTACCAGCTGGGCACAGGTCCTGGAGTGGCTGTATCGGCCTCGAGTGGGAAATGTGCCCAGGATGAGTGATCGCTGTGACTGATGAACAGGCTAAGGTTATAGGCACTCCCCTCCGAGCCTAACCCAAAGTGGGGGGAATAGTTCTCCAAAGGAAAACCGGGTCTAGCCACAAAGGGGGACTGGGGCTGAACAGCAAAAATGAACAAATGTCTACTGCATCCCACCTCTGAACAAGATCTACACAGATCCTGCTACTTGTACAATTTTTAAAGTGTTTCTGTTTATCGTAACACAACTGTCCCTCACAAAACTTAAAATACATTTGTCCCATCTCCCGAAGGAGATGTTCCAACTTCTTATCCACTTAGCACGTCCAGCCCCAATTCAAGATCTTGGTGATGGGCTGTCTCTTTGGCAGGGTACTGAGCTAGCCCCTCATGGTCTTTCAGCTTATGGCCAGACTATGATGGAGGAAAGATCGGATAACGAAAGTACAAAACGCTACCAGCTGAAGAGGGAGATGAGGAGAAACAGTCAGTGGTCACAGACCCATATGTGGTCCACATGCTTGACCAGTTGGTGAGGACGGGGTTCCCTGACTCCTGTTTTTGGCTGCTTTGGTTCTGCCATTTCCAAGAGCCTCCCTTGTCCTTCATGCTCTGTGCCATGCAGAAAAGGGGCATTGGGGGCTCACCTCCCACTGGTGCAGGTTTAAGGGGTGGGGAACATTAGGAGCTGAGTAATCCCTGGCCTTTGTTTTCCAGGTTTGTGGGTTTTTCTGGCAATACAATCCCCTTAATCATTAGGAAGCTTTCAGTCAATTTACGTTCAGTTGTCCCCAGAGCCATTAACCAAACTAGAGACCTCATTGGAAGTTGTAATTCTTGAATCAAGTCCCTGGTGATAGTGTTTGGGGTGGGGCAGGGGGGGGGAGCAGGGGGTGTCTCTTAGCAACAGCCCTTGGTGCTCTGCCCATCCCAGGAGCGCATGGTTCTGTTGCTTCTGGCTAGGCCTCTGCCGCAGGGCAATGCAAACCCTTCGTCTAGGGTGGGAGGCAGAGTTCATTGCCCCCTCCCACTCAAGCTGCACCCCAGTGGAAGGCAGTGGAAGGCTGTTTTGGTGAAAGCAATGGTTGCTTCTGTCGAGCTGGGAGGGCACAGCAGGAGGGGTTCTTGAAGGGCCTGAGGAGTCAAGAGCCTGTCAGGGCCCAGGTTTGTCTCTCTCTGTGTTTCCAGCCTCCCTGTCTTTGCTTGAGCTGACTTTAGCTAGAAGCAGAGAACTGGCTCTTAATTATCTCTCAGCCATATTGGATTACCGGCCTCAGGCAGAAAGCGCCTCTCTAAGCAAAGCAGCATTTTCTTCCTCTGTGCTTTCAGAGGTGCCCCTTTCAGCCGGAGTGTGTCTCTTTCATGTCGGGCCTTACTGAGGCCATGGGGGACGCCACACCCCAACATGGTGACATTTTTCCACAGGCCCCTTATAAGTTCCAGGTAGGAACATCATCTGAGCTCCAGAGACCGGGGGAGAGTTTCATCGGCTGCTTTGCTGCTGGGTAGCAGGGGTCACCAACTTCTGAGGGGGGGGTGGTACCATCTTACTTCCCCTCCTGGTTCAGCCTATTCCTCCTTAGGGTCTATTCCTTTAAAAAAGTCCATTTGTTCTTCTAATTTCTGGGTTAGGACTTTTTTCTAGTGCAGGTACCACAGACCCAACTCCAAATGGCTTAAGCAATGAAGGGAATGGATTGGTTCACGCACTAGACCAGGATCTCAAACAGTGTCTGTGAGAAATCTCTGTCTCCATATCAGTTCTGCTTCTCTGCATTGGCTTCATTCCCAGGAGGTTCCTCCCCAAAGAGGCAAAGATAGCACTTGCAGCTCTAGCCTTCCCCATTAGCTTAGAAACCTGAGCCCAAAGAGGATGCTTTTCCCCAGTGGTTCAGAGAAGTCCTGGAGGGAGGAATGCCTCACGGACTCAACTTGGGCGATCTCTGCCCATCCCAGGACTCTGTTTGGCCAGGTCTATATCACTTTCTTACCCCTGGAGCCGGGATGGACCATCAACCCCCACTCAGACCATGTGGACTGAGAAAGTGGGGAAGGAAGAATGGTTCTCCAAGGTCAAAGCAGAGTGATTTTACCAGGAGAAGGACTGGGTGCTGGGATGGTAAAGGGAACAGTCACCCATACCTCCATGTGGAAATGCCTGAAGGCAAAGGAAACTCCAGAGCAGGTCAGGGTGGTGAGGCAGAGCTGAGAGTCAATGGCTTAAAGCTGGGAGTGACCATGTGGGAGCAAACCAGACTGCCAAGGAGAGGGCAGATGCAAAGAGGGTGTCAAGGTGGACCTCTCATCGGGAAAATTCAGAAGGCAGTAGGAAGACGAGGTTGGAGAACCCGAACAGGCGGCTTCATGGCAGCCTGCGAAGATGGAGTGGTCAGTAGTATCAGCCGAGGGACCAAGTGGGTGAAGAGTCTTGACGACAACTGGATTGATAAGCAGGTGGTCTGTGACCCAGAGGAGCACAGTGACAGCGGAGGATGGCTGGCAGTTAGGAGGAGGAGGGATGAATGGGGTAGAGATTCCACGAGGCAGAGGAGGTGTGACCAGAAGCCAGAGATGAGGGAGGAGGGGCAGTGGAAGTTGAGGGTGACCAGGGGTAGGATGTCAGGAAGGGTGGTAGTTTGTGCTAGAAGGGGCCTGAAGAGGACAAATATGGTGGCCCTTGGAACAAAGGGGCAGGGCGCTTACTGGAGATCGACCTAGCAAAGGACTCTAAAAAAGGACCTACCTGCCTAGAGTGGCAGTGATGGGAGGGTACAGAAGCAGGACAGGAATAAACAGTGACATGCACACAGGTATCATCAGGTGAGGTGACAATTTAGTCACTGCAACATGGTACCAACAGTCCAGTCTGTCTGATGGGTATGGTTTGCATGACATGGAAATAAGCATCTTCCTTTAAGGATTTTTTTCAGATGTAAGATACATACAGCCAAATACATACGGTGCACTAGCCTTACATACATCGCTTGATTGTTTACATATGTATTCACATGTCTAACCACCACTCGTATCAAGATCTAGAACATTTTCAGCATCACATAAGGTTCCCTCCTGTCCCTTCTCAGTTTATAGTCTCCAGGGGGTGACCTCTGTTCTGACTTCTGTCATGATCAATTTAGTCTGTTCTTGAACTCCGTATGTATGGAATCCTACAGTGTGCACTCTGCTCTGGCTTCTTTTACGCAGCGTAATATTGAATGGATTCATCCATGTTGTTGCATGTCCCAGTGCTTCCTTTCCTTATTGCTGGATAAAATTCCACTACGGACATATCACAATTCATCCAGTCTACTGGTGATGGGCACTTGGGTTATGTCTAGTTGGAATATAGGTTGGAAGTATTATAAGTATAATGAATGCTTTCCCCCCCCCTTAAAGAATTCTCATTCTTTCTCATTGTCGTACATGTACAGGCCCTCCCGCAGGTACCAGAGCAGGCCAGCCCCCTCTGGGAGGTCAAGCCACTGGGATCCCCTCGCCCCTCCATTATGGGCGCTAGTTTCCTGGGGAACTCAGTTTCCTCACGCGTGGGGGAGACCACCCTCCTAAGGCTTACTTCCTCTCTTCCAGCCTCCTCGCCTCTGGCCGCCGGCGCCCTGAGCCTTCCTGACCGCGCAGGGGGGCTCGCCCGCGGCCCCCCATGAGCGCGCCCGGCTGACCGGCGGGGTCGGCCGCGGTGGAGCCGGGGCGCCGCGGGGGCGGCGGGGCCATGGCCTCGCTGGACCTGCCGTACCGCTGCCCCCGCTGCGGGGAGCACAAGCGCTTCCGGAGCCTGTCGTCGCTGCGTGCTCACCTGGAGTACAGCCACACGTACGAGACGCTCTACATCCTCTCCAAGACCAACAGCATCTGCGACGGCGCCGCGGCCGCCGCCGCCGCCGCCGCCGCCGCCTCGGCCTTCCCGCTGACGCCCGAGCCCGCCGCCCTGCTGGCCGTGCCCGGCGCCCGGCGCGAGGTCTTCGAGAGCACGTCCTTCCAGGGCAAGGAGCAGGCGGCCGGCCCATCGCCCGCCGCGCCGCACCTGCTGCACCACCATCACCACCACGCGCCCCTCGCCCACTTCGCCGGCGACCTGGTGCCCGCCAGCCTGCCGTGCGAGGAGCTGGCCGAGCCGGGCCTCGTGCCCGCCGCCGCCGCCGCCGCCGCGCGCTACGCGCTGCGCGAGATCGAGATCCCGCTGGGGGAGCTGTTCGCGCGCAAGTCCGTGGCCTCCTCGGCTTGCTCGACGCCGCCGCCCGGGCCGGGCCCCGGACCCGCCTCCGCCTCGCCCGCGTCCCCCTCGCCCGCCGATGTGGCTTACGAGGAGGGCCTGGCGCGCCTCAAGATCCGCGCGCTGGAGAAGCTGGAGGTGGACCGGCGGCTGGAGCGGCTGAGCGAGGAGGTGGAACAGAAGATCGCGGGCCAGGTGGGTCGGCTGCAGGCCGAGCTGGAGCGTAAGGCGGCGGAGCTGGAAACCGCGCGGCAGGAGAGCGCCCGCCTGGGGCGCGAGAAGGAGGAGCTGGAGGAGCGGGCATCCGAGCTCTCGCGCCAGGTAGACGTGAGCGTGGAGCTGCTGGCCTCGCTCAAGCAGGACCTGGTGCACAAGGAACAGGAGCTGAGCCGCAAGCAGCAGTGAGTGGCCCGCAGGGCCCTGTGGGCGGGTGTGCCCGTGAATGTTCCCGATTGAGTGACCGTGTGTGTCGCTGCCGCTGCCCCCACCTTGAGTGGGCCTGAGTGTGGCTGTGTGTGTGTCTGTGTGGCCGTGGCTTTGTACTGTGGCATCTGTGGCCAAAAGCATGTGATGGTGGTGTGTGTGGGGCCAAGAGCGTCATGACGGTATGTGTTTGGGACTGTGAGGACATGCAAGTATGCTCGCATGCCTGCCCGTGAAAACTCTCTCTTACTTTTCTATGTCCCTAGCCAAGGCCAGCCCCTGCATTGTGGCAGCAGATCCTCTGCTCTTTTGCCCACTCAAAGACGTGGCACAATTCTGCTCTCCCCTTTGCCATCATCAGATTTTCCTTGTCAACTGTATCATTCCTTTTTTTTTTTTAAAGATTTTGTTTATTTATTTGACGGAGAGAGACACAGTGAGAGAGGGAACACAAGCAGGGGGAGTGGGAGAGGGAGAAGCAGAACCGAGCCACCCAGGCGCCCCAACTGTATCATTCCTGAAAGCGACCAAACAGGAGGTTGTTTCTCCCATCCACCATAACCCCAGTGCCCCCTTGGGCTACTGCCTCTTTTCTCTCCTTCCAGAACAACTCTATGAAAATTTATACTCCTTGTCTCCAATCTCCTTCTCCACTTTCTCTCTTGAATCCCCTCTGATTAGAGAGATGTCCACCACCACCACTGTCCTCCACATCACCAACAACCTTCATGTCACCAAGGCCCACTCATCATCACCTCAGCCTATCAGCAGCATTTGACACAGCTGATCCCTGAAACACTTTCTTCACTTGACTTCCAGGACACTGTCCTTTTTGTCTGCTCCTTCTCAGCGTTCTTTGCTGGCTTCTTATTTCCCTGGTCTTTAAATGTAGAATGGTGAAATATATGGATGGTATTTATCTACCCCCCATTGTGATATAAGCTCCATGGGGGCAGGAGCTTTTCTCAGTCTATCCACAGCTGTATCCCTAAATACCTAGAACAGTGCCTGACACCTGGAAGGTGCTCAGTGATTGTTGAATGTGAATACATTTGGGAGTAAATGCTCAAGTGACTCTGAAGTGTGCTGTGTGTACTTCCCCGAGGCTTCTGCATCTGAGAATGTTTCTGAAAGTGTGTGTGTGTGTGTGTGTGTGTGTGTTGGAATGTGTGAGCAGGACTGTACCTGGCTCAGACTGTGTGTATGCCTGCAAGTGAACATGACATGACCACGTGTACATGAGTGTGTGTGGCTGTGTGCCCAAGAGTGTATCTGGATGGAGGAGGCGGCTTTGAGTGTGACTGCGTATGACAGAGTGTTTCCATGGGGAGTAGGGGCGCCTGGCAGGAGCGTCGGGGCTGGGTCAGTGGGGCATGAGTGTGTGACTTAGGGTGGGTGTACGGTTGCATTTCTGTGTGTGCCTTGGTGGGGGGCCTTGTGCCCGGGCCTGTACATCTGCGGGCACCCACGTGAGCATGAGCAGACAGCCCGGGCAGCTGTGCCCGTGCCTTTCCCTCCCGCTCAGGGTTTCCTCCAGAGGGTGGGTGGGCAGCCAGGCACGGGGCTGAAAGACTGCTCCGGGCCCAGGGAGGTGGTGCAGATCGACCAGTTCCTGAAGGAGACAGCGGCGCGGGAGGCCAGCGCCAAGCTGCGGCTGCAGCAGTTCATCGAGGAGCTGCTGGAGCGTGCGGACCGCGCCGAGCGGCAGCTGCAGGTCATCAGCAGCAGCTGTGGCAGCACCCCGAGCGCCAGCCTGGGCCGCGGAGGGGGAGGAAGTGGCGCTGGGCCTGTTACCCGGGGCCCCGGCAGAATGGTGAGCGTCCACCTGCCCCCTCCAGTCCCACCGCGCACACGGCCTAGCGTCCCCCTGTTATGCTTCATGCTTCCCTTCTTCAGCTCTTCCCCACGAGCAGACTCCGGGCCTGAAGGAGGGGTCCAGGAACAGGGGTGCCCCTCTGATTGGGCAGAAGGGCCCCTGAGGCTGTGAGCCAGTGAGGTGCGATCCAGCCCCCCTGGTGCCCAAATGAGAGCCCAGGAGCCACAGGCCAGGGTCTGGGGTGCTGGGTGGGTGTGGGGAGGGGGCTGGTGAGCCTGCCTTTCTGGGCTGTCTGTCTGTCTATTTGTCCATCTTTCCCAACTTTTTTCCTTCTCTCTCCTCTCCCTCCTCTCTTCTCTCCATCTGTGCCCTGTTTCTCCTGCTCCTTCTCATCCTCTTGCTTCCTCTGCTGCCCCCCATGCCCCGCCTTTCCCTCCCGCTCTGGGGGCCCACAGCGAGAACACCACGCGGGCCCGGCCGTGCCTAGCACATACGCCGTGTCGAGGCATGGCTCCTCTCCCAGCACAGGGTAAGCCTCGGGCCTGGCCCGTCCCACACAGCCCACCCTCACCTTGGAAAGACCCACCGCCCCCCTGGATGGCTGGTCCATCTGGGGCCTTGGCTCCTTCTCCTTTCCCCATACTCCTCGGGTCACCTCCATCTGCCTTTCCACACTCTTGGAAGGGGGCTCTTGGAAAGTAGGGCGGGGGGTTGCCCTCGGTAGGGGTGGCCTGGGGACTTTGGGCAGACCTGGTGCCCCTCACTCCTCACCGTCTGGTCCACCCCACCCCAGGGCCTCCAGCCGTGTCCCCGCTGCATCCCAGAGCTCAGGCTGCTATGACAGTGACAGTCTGGAGTTACCCCGGCCAGAAGAGGGGGCCCCCGAGGACAGTGGCCCTGGGGGCTTGGGCACACGGGCCCAGGCTGCCAACGGCGGCTCGGAGCGCACCCAGGCCCCTCGCAGCTCAGGCCTGCGGCGCCAGGCCATCCAGAACTGGCAGCGCAGACCCCGCCGACACAGCACGGAGGGGGAGGAGGGTGATGTCTCAGACGTGGGCTCCCGAACCACGGAGTCAGAGGCTGAGGGCCCCTCAGATGCCCCCCGCCCTGGGCCTGCTCTGGCTGGGCCACTGAGCAGCTGCCGGCTCTCAGGTGAGTCCTGGAAGGGTAGGCCAGAGGGGCCAGTCTTTCTTTGGTGCTGGGCCCTCTAAGGGGACACAGGGCTGGGGCAGTAGATCTCTTGGGCTCCCGCACCTGTTTCCCCTTGTCCCAGACTTCCTGCAATGAGGATGACAAACTCTCCTACAAGTGCCCTGGGAGCCTGGGCAAGGAACTCATGAGACAGAGCAGTGCTGCAGCACAGGGGTGCTCATGTTGTGGACTGCACAAGGATGCCACATCTCAGGGGGTCCATTCACATGGCTCGTTGTTGACATTTACGGGAGAGTAGCTGAGTGTTAACTGCAGACTGAAGTCCCTGGAACAGCAGGGAGAGCCCCCTTCTATATATGCACAAGGCCATGTGCATATGTGGGTGGGTCAGGGTCAGGGTCAGGAGGTTAGAGGGCTCAGGTCAGGTGCATGGCTGCTCTTGAGTGACCGTTCTGGGCAGCCTCGCCCTGGCCTTCTCTTCACAGAGGCTGGGTTTCTATCCATCTGTACCCTTGCCCTCCAAACCCTTGCCTTTCCTAGACTTGACTCAGTTGCTTTGCCTAAGGGCTGACTTTGGACAATGTGAGGATGTATGATCTGAAAAAGACAGTTTACTTGAGGAAGGCTCACCTTTTTCTAATGTGTATAATTAGAGATGGGCTGTGCAGAGGAGGGGGAAGCAGAGGCCCCTTGTCCTTCTTCCCAAGTCACCAGTCCCCCAGCATGGGTCTTTCATGCTTGTTCCTTCTGTGGCTCCTACCCCACCCCACCTCCCCACCCACACCCCCACATTGGCCTTTGACCCTCCACACTGATCTCTGACCCTTTGGTACCGTGCAGCCCGCCCTGAGGGAGGCAGTGGGCGGGGTCGGCGAGCGGAGAGGGGCAGCCCCTCCTGCTCCAACGAGGTCATCAGCCCGGAGATCCTCAAGATGCGAGCCGCCCTGTTCTGCATCTTCACCTACCTGGACACACGCACGCTGCTGCACGCGGCCGAGGTCTGCCGGGACTGGCGCTTCGTGGCTCGCCACCCCGCGGTCTGGACACGGGTGCTGCTCGAGAACGCCCGCGTCTGTTCCAAGGTGCCTGTCCCCGCCCACCGCCCCTGCTGTGAACCCACCTTTCTCCCAGCAGAATCTGGGCCCTCGAGGTCTGGCCCTTGCGACCCTTCCAACACCCTAGCTTCAGCCTCGCTCCCCCAAATGCTCTCATGGGGTCTCCCTCCAGCCAGCCAAGCTCAGGCCCCTTCATCGGCAGGCAACCCCTCTCTCCCTGCAGTTCCTGGCCATGCTGGCTCAGTGGTGCACCCAGGCGCACTCGCTGACCCTGCAGAACTTGAAGCCCCGGCAGCGGGGCAAGAAGGAGAGCAAGGAAGAGTACGCGCGGAGCACCCGGTGAGGCGGTGGTGGGTGGGCAGGGGGGGGGTGTTACTGCGTGCACACCTGGAGTTCTGGGGGGGGCGGTGCTTCCCCGGGGAGGGAGTGGCCACAAGCGGTGCCCTGACCTCTTGGCCATCCCCAGGGGCTGCCTCGAGGCGGGGCTGGAGTCCCTGTTGAAGGCGGCGGGGGGGAATCTGCTGATCCTGCGCATCTCCCACTGTCCCAACATTCTCACCGACCGCTCCCTCTGGCTGGCCAGCTGCTACTGCCGCGCCCTGCAGGCGGTCACCTACAGGTAGTCCACACCCTCTGGACCTCCGGCCGAGCGGGTCCCTGGGGTCTGCATACTCTTCCCCCAGGGCTCTCAGGCAAGGGGACCCAAGAGTCCTCTGGTCCAAGGGCAGGGAGCAGAAACCACCAGGGTGGGCGGTCCCAGCTCTTTCTTTTCAACAGGAGCGCCACAGACCCCGTGGGCCATGAGGTCATTTGGGCCCTGGGCGCAGGCTGCAGAGAGATTGTCTCCCTCCAGGTGGCGCCACTTCACCCTTGGTGAGCCCCAGCAGGGGTTGGGAGGGGCCGGGGGTTGAGCCGGGGCTGGCTGAGGACTGAGCAGATCTGGGCCATTCCAAAAGCTGGCTGGGGAGACAGATTCACATTCATCAGTCTGTGTATTTAGCTGTTGGGAGCAGAGCTTCAAAATCAGGCCTGGGGTGACGTCCTGGCTCACTGGCAGTGTGACGGAGAGCAATCCAGTCATGCCTCAGTTTCTCTACTGCAAAGTGAAGGTGATATTCGAGATTTTTCAGCCTTAGTGGGGCCGTAGCTGGCTCAGATGTGTCTATAAAGAGTATATATGTGTTCAGTCAACACTAGCTAGAAATAGCCACGTTTGTTTGGCACGTGAAAGGCCGTTCAGGAGGTCGATGTAGCATACACAAAAGAGCTGGTTGTCGGAGAATCCAGATCATTCATTCACGACTTGGTGTTCCTCAAACCAGACTTCTTTGTCCCTGCGCTCTGTCCTCCAAGCCCTCTCTCCGCACGACAGCTCCTCTCGGGGCAGCCCATGTCCTTCCCTGCCACCTGGCGGAATCCATCCCCGCTCCCCTGCCCCCATTCCTGTGGTGCCTCCGCTTTTTTTGACACCTGCTGTAGTTTGTTTTGCAATAATCTCTGAGTCTCCGCGGTACTAGCAGTTCTCCAGGTTGGGGCTGTGAATGTCCGTTCCCCTATCCCTGGTACCAGGTGCGTGGCCGACACCAGGGAACCCACCGCCTGGGCGAATGTTGAGGAAGGAGCTGTTCAGGGAAATGGCTGGGTTGGTGTGAGTGATGGGCAGGGCGGAGCAATGAGTGTGGAGAGGAAGGTGGGGGCAAGGTTAGGAAGGTCTTGTGTAAGGGGGTTAGATTTTTGCATTTTACCTAGGAAGTGCTCGGGAAGCCTTTGCGGTATTTCTGATCTTAAAGACAGGATCACATCAGACTGGTTATGTTGTGTCCTCCCCCGCCCCCCTCGTTGAGGGCACGGACCATGTCTATACTGTTACCACTCTATCCCCGGGGCCCAGCTCGGTTATTCTTGGCGCTAGTAGACACTTGAGGCCCATTTGTTGAATGACTGAGTGAGAGAACATAGAATGAGTGGCTCGCTGTCAGCAGCGTGCCGGATGAATTGGCAGAGAGACTAGATGAATCCACATGAATATGGATGGTGGTGTGAACTGTGCTTTGAAGTTATTCAGGAATCAGAATCTGTAGGTCTCGGCAGGAGGTAAGGAAGGGTCAGGGATGATCCCAGGTTTCTAACTTGAGCAGCTGGGTGGTTGGTGGGGCCCCAGCCTGAGCAAGGGACATGAAAGAGGAGCAGGTTCGGGGTGCCGTGCAACCAGAAGCTTCCTTGACAGCCCTCTCTCTGCCCCATTCTCCAGCCAGCAGCCCACGCGCTTCAGTAACCGCTGCCTGCAGATGATTGGTCGCTGTTGGCCGCACCTTCGGGCCCTGGGGGTTGGGGGTGCTGGCTGTGGGGTGCAGGGCCTGGCGTCACTTGGTGAGTCTTTCCTTGGGACTGGGGCGGAGGGTGGTGGGAAGCAGGCGTGGGTGCGACACCGGAATCCCAGAGGGGCTTGAGGCTGCGGCCTGGGTGGTGGCAGGAGCTCAGAGGCACCGGGCCGGAGGCGACCTGGGGAGTTTGTCAGCAGGACCTCCCCTCTTCCTTCTCTTCCTAGCAAGAAACTGCATGCGGCTGCAGGTCCTGGAGCTGGACCATGTGTCGGAGATCACCCAGGAGGTGGCAGCTGAGGTCTGCCGGGAAGGCCTGAAGGGACTGGAGATGTTGGTGCTCACGGCCACCCCTGTCACCCCCAAGGCTCTGCTGCATTTCAACAGTGAGCAATGGGAATGCGGCCAGGGGAGGGGGGTGTCCACTGTCCCCTCTTACCATGCCTTGTCAGCAAGTAGCATATGCAATTCCCTGTTCTCGTCAGCAAGCACCAGCATGGGTGGACGTGGGGGACAGACTGACCAGGGTGCTAATCCTAGCCTCGCCACCAGGGTCTTCTGAGGCCAGTGTGGCATTCGAGGCCTGCTAGCACTGGTCCAAATGGTTCGGTTCCACAGATCTTTATTGCCCTATGCTCAACCCCCATGGGAGATACGAGATATGACCTGTTCCACGTGAGCCTCTGGCCAAGGGCAGGGGCAGAAGAGACGGGTTAGGAATACAGGTCCTGGAGCTGGACTGATGTAGGTCTCAATTTTGGCTCTACTGCTTATTAGCTGTGTGACTGGGCAAGTTACTCTACTTCTCTGGCTTCTGTATCCCCATCTTCTAAGCGGACCTTCTGGAATGGGTGGGAGGGTTAAATGAGATAATGTATATGAGCCCCGCCAGGACCATTCTCAGGGTGAAGACCCCTCTCTCCGTGCTACTGTAGACTCCAACATGCCTCCTCTGACCCCACCAACCCCTAGCCACCTGCCCCACTCCACCTTCACTGAGGACATGGGCGCCCAGCTGGGGCTACTCACACTCCTTCAGGAAGCTGCCCTTTGAGCCCCGCTCCACCCCCCCAACTGGAGCATCCTTCTGGGCACAGCCAGCAAGGAGCTGAGTCACCACCAGCACCTGGTGTCATTGCCCTCAGGACCTGCAGTAACCACGGAGTGGCTCCTCAGTTGCTCAGGCTACTGGGGCAGGCCCCCCCTTCCTGAGGCCCTGGTCACACCTAAGTCCCGAGCACTGAAGATTCCTTGACAATCTCATTGTTTCCAGGACCCTCTTCTTCCCTCCCCTTCAGCCTCATGGCCTGGCCCTGGACTGACCACCAGACTAACTGCTCAGCCTCCAAAATCATGACCTCCAGAACCCTCTCAGCCTCCTGACTTTCCTCCTCCTCCACTGCCTTCATGGCAACATCTGGTCCCTTAAGTCCTCTGCTCCCAACTTGTTTGCTGCCTGTCTCCCCTCCTCCATGTTCCAGAGAAGACCCAATAGCCTCACCCCAGCCACTCTGTCCTTGAATTCATTTCCAGATGGCCAGGCCATGGTACAACTGTCCCCTCTGCCAGGGAAGCTCCTAGAGCCTCTGCACAATTGGCTGTTGCCCACTCATCCTCCCAGAGTCCACTGCAGCCTTTGCTGTATGACCCTGCCCTCCTCCCCCAGCCCCAACCCCCATCTGGTTGACCCTCTGGGTGCCACAGGCCTGCTCTCCTCTACGTGGTGCCCAGTGCCTGGCATGTGGCCATCTCTCTGTAGGGTTCTGGTTTAAGTAGTGATGGGAGAAGCAGCAGTCCCATTGCCCAGCCATCACCTTATTACCCACCTTTTCTCAGGCATTTGCCGGAACCTCAAATCCATCGTGGTCCAGATTGGGATTGCTGATTATTTCAAAGAGCCCAGCAGTCCCGAGGCCCAGAAGCTGTTTGAGGATATGGTGACAAAACTCCAGGTGAGGAATTGGCTCTTAAGCCACCCAAGACCCTAGGTGACATCCCTAGGCTGGAGTTGGTGACCTGGGTGTGTAATGGGAGGGCCCCACTTGCCTGACCCCGAGGGGAACTAACCCAGGGTTCGGTCTACAGGCCTTACGACGGAGGCCCGGCTTCTCTAAGATCCTGCACATCAAGGTGGACGGCGGCTGCTAACCCGGGCGGGGGGCGGCAGGGCCCCTGCCAGCCCCACACCAGGGCACTCTCTTTGGACCTCCAGAGGGACCCTGATTTGAACTAGACCTTCAGAGGCCTAGTGTTATCCCTGGCTTCCAGGGAAGGGTTGAGTTTCCTGTCCTCCTCCTGGGACCGTGGAGCAACAGGCCTGACCCTGGGCACTGCCTCTTCAGGGCAGGGGCTTGGACAGAAGCTGCCCTCCGACCCCCACTCCACCCCCCACCCCACCCCCACTGGAGCATCCTTCTGGGCACCGCCAGCAAGGAGCTGAGTCACCACCAGCACCTGGTGTCATCGCCCTCAGGACCTGCAACCACGGAGTGGCTCCTCGGTTGCTCAGGCTACTGGGGCCGGCCCCCCCTTCCTGAGGCCCAGCCTCCTGGTCAGGGGCCTCTGCTAGGCCCCAGCCAGAGGGGGCTCCCCAAAGCAGCTCAGACTTGGCAAGGAGGGCTCTTTTCCTCCTTCCCTGTTCCAGCCCTCTGTGGGGCATCCCCTTCAGACATCCTGCCTAGGCTCTGGGTCCACATTCCCCAGGGGTAACACAGATAGGCCTATGGGTCTGGGAATGTGGTCAGCCACAAGTGGGGGGCAGAGGTGCAGCAAGGTAGTGGGAATGGGCTTGGAATGGCAAAACATTCATCCAGAACTTTTCCCCAGGATATTGAAACCACCACTCTCAAAGGGGGGAAATTGCCAAGTAGAGAAAACCTAGTTTTTATTGCTGTGGAAACAAGACCCTTCCTCTCAGCCACCACATACCCTCATGACACACCAGAGCTAAATTCAGAGGTAAAAGGTGCATGTTTCTATACCTTCCACCGATCCTGAGCTTCTGGAGGGGTAAGGTCCTAGCTCTGGGAAACCTTAGCAGCAGTGAGCAGCAGTTCCTGTCCTCAAGAAATGTCTTTCTGGTGCTTGGGCAGGAATCTAATGGCCTCTGGGTCCCCAGTGCTGTGGGTGGCAGGGAGTCACTGCCTTCTGTGCTGGGGCCTGGAGGAAGCCAGGAGGGAACCTGGTTTGCTTCCTTGTCTGGCTAGCTTGCTTGAAGACGTGGTCTTGGTAGGGAACCACACCCATGAAGCCAAAGAAGAGGAAGAGCAGCCTCATCAGACTTGCCTCCCTCCTCAGTCTTCACGGGCCCCATGGGCTGTGGGCTCTGCTGGAGTGCTTCTGCCTAGGCACGGTGCTGGGGCCTGAGCCAGAGCCACTTGGCTTAGAAACCACAGAATGCAAATGGGGGTTTTTCACTGACTCTTGCACAGTTCTGGTAAAACCAGGTTCTGGCACTAAGGCTCCAAAGACTCAGGTCTCTGCAGTTCCTCCTCTCAGAACTCCCATAGTGGTGTAGAGGCCTTGGGTCCCACTAACATTCACTTGGAAAGTTCTTTCAAACATTAACCTCGATCCATCTTAGGGTTTCCTAATTTCCTATACAGGGGCCAGTTCTGCCCTAACCATTAGGCTGCTGGTCCTGGACTTCTCGTTTCTCAGCCCTTTCCAGGGACCTTTCTGCTACATCCTGGACATCAAGACCCAGCCCTGGGTTACCCTGTAATGAGTCCTTCAGACTGAGACCCCACAGGCTCAGTATCCAGCTCCCCTAACTCCACACCCAGCTCTGTCCCAGCTCCTTCTGGCCTCACCCTTTGAAGACCCCAAATACCAAGGGTGTCCTGTTGGCAACTCCCTGTCCAGTCCTGCACAAAGCCTTGGCTGAGTGGCACCCCCCCCCCCACAGAGCTGCTGGCCCCACTGGCTCCCACCTCCCTGGCCCTGTCCCCAGGAGTTGCAGGAAGAAGCACAACTTTTCTCTGTCCTCCAGGGGCCTGGAAGGGATATGGGGGTGCATCTGTCTTGCCTTGCCAACTGTACCCTCTACAGCTCCTGCTCAAGACCCTAGGATCAGAGGTGCTGCCCTCCCCATCTCCTGGACAAAGCACAAAGGGATGCCCTGCTTGGCCTGAGCCTGCCTTACTGAGGGATTTTTGCCCCAGGAAGCTTCCATCCCTGAACACAAGACTTTGGGCAATTTCTCCCTGGGTGGGTACCCACTGGAATGTCTGGCATCAGTCCTGGAAAAGGAGGTCAGGGTGCATGGGCAGTGAGCTAGAGTGGGAGAAAGGCAGTGCTGAAAGGACTGATTCTAGGAGTAGGTTCATTCACCCAGTCATTCATTCATTCAGTCATTCGTGCAACAGCCCTGAGCACCACCAGCACTGAGGGCAGAAGAGTGAACAGGCCACCCCCCACCCCCCCCACTGGTAGGAAGTTTGGCCAGAAGTCCCCACCCTGTAACTCCCAGCTGAGTGTGTGAAGGATGTGTAGGAGTACATATGGCATCGGCCCCAGCCCCTGCTGACGGGGACTCACAGACTCACACAGGCTGGACTTCATGCATGCCGAGAAGTGGCAGGGTGTGGGCCCCTTGTCCCCCAACTCAAAGCTATTTTTTGACTTGCAGGGGGATGAGCCCTGCTGCTGTACGGGGAGCTTGTTTGCAGGGATGCTCCATTTGTTCACTTCTCTGGCAACCACAGAGCATGGCTGAGGATGGGTAACAGGGATGGAGGGTCTGGCCATTCCTGAAGCACCTTATCCTTCACTCACTCAAAGGAGCTTCCACCTCTGTATCTCACACCTATAAGATGCAAAGGAGAGGAATATCTGAGAGAGCAAATCGAAGCAGGCCCTGCTCTAGGGGTCCCAGGCACATGTAGAGGTCCCATGGGCACCAGCACTCGGGTGTCCCTACACCTCTCCCTGCAATATGGCCTGGACCCAGCATCTGGGAGGCTTGGCACACTCAGCTTGAGCACTTCATCAGGCTTTGGGCTGCTTCCCCATGGCACTAGCAGGGAACGAAGGAGATGCTGTATACATCTGACCCCTGGGAGAGAGGAAAGGTGCTGCCCAGAACCGTGGCTTTCCACTGGCCAGGAAACCACCTAAGGACCAAGGCAGCCCAGGACTTCCTGGTCCCGTGAGAACGGTTTGAGCCAGCCCCTCAAGAAATGCTTCAAAAACAAAAAGCCACCTCCCTCCCAAGGCCTGCTGCTCCAAGGTTTGGCTCCATCCTTTGCCGTTGGGTCCTGCCTATTGCCCTGGTCCTTTGGGCCATGGGTGGGAAGCGGCCCAGGCCCTAGTCCCTTTAAGGTGCTAGGCTGAAGACCTTCCCAGAGGGACTATTGGTGCCAAAGACCCAACTCCTCGGGGGCTTGGGATGAAGACAGCAGAGATGGTGAGTGGGGGCAGGTCCTCCCTGCCCAGAGGAGTTAACTCAAACTGATCTGTCCAGCCTATCAGTCCCTCCTCCAGGGGCCTGGCACTTCTCTTTAACCCTGGTAGTCATGCTTTCTCGCCCAGCCTTGTTCCAGGCCTGCATTTCTGTATATACTGCTGTGTATCGTGTGTATGTATTTATTCCCGGACAAGTGTATTCATCTGCAGCTTTTGCCTGAGGATAAGGTTTAGGATTGGGTGAAGACCGGAATACCAGGGCAAACAGCTCCTATTCCTTCCCTAACCCCCCGGGACCCTGGCCAGTCCCAAGACTGCCCTGACAATCAGGCAGGCTTCCCCACCACAAGCCCAAGCCTTGTCTGCCATTGCTGGCATAGTTCCAGTGGGGCTTGGCCTTGGGCGGCCTGGCCTCAACTCTGCCCTGGCGGGGTCTTGCATTCAAGTGCAGAGGCCCGAGGCAACCTTGAGGCTTGCCTCATGACTGGCACCAGGAGGCTTGGCCCTCATGGGCACTGCTAGTGGGGACCTCCTCAACTGGCCCTCAGGCCTGCCTTCCCTGCACAGCCAGGCTGCAATAGGCCTGAGCCGTGAGGGTAGCTTCCCCCACCCCAAGCACAGCAGGCAGAGGGGTGGAGAGCTTTTTTTGGTTTTGTTTCTGAAGTGGTGCCTGTACCTCCAGCCCCCAGGGGGCCTTCCCTGGCCCCACTTCTCTCCCCCCCCCCACCAGGCGTCACCATCCCAGCACTTTGCTCCACGTCACCCATAGATGCCCTCTGCCGAATGTACCTGAGTGTATGTATTTAAAAGAACTCACATGGGCATCAGAGAATTTATGACTTTGTATCCAATAAAAGATGGTGAAACTGGATTATCTGCCAGGGAAGTAAATGGTAGATGGCCATATTTTTGTCTGTCTGTGTCACCAAGCCTTTCTGCAGTTCAAGTGCACTGAGGCAGGAAGTGGGTGGATGACCTCAACGGCATCAACAGTGAATAAAGCATTAGGAAGACCTGTCTCAGGGCTGTAGACATCACTGTCCCTGCCAGAGCTCACTCTTTTGGTGTCTGCACAAAGACAAAAAGCCTTGGGTTATCATTTTTGACTCTCAGCCAGGGAGGCCATCTTTAAGGACAACCCCAGGGCAAGTCCAGCAGGAGCAGTGCCTGGCCCCTCAATGGCTTGGCCACCTCCGTAGGAAGCTCCTTCTGGCCTCAACTCCCCCATTTTGCCAAATGAGGTTGCCCTATTGTTTAGGTTACTCAGGTCTGGAAATATTTAAAATCAGAAAAAAGACCAGATGCTTGGGCTTAAATTGCATGTGGTTTTAGCATCAAAAAGATGAATATTCATCCCAACTCTGAGCCAACTGTTCTTATGTTCCCCACACAGGCAGGGCAGCTGAGGTTCAGAAAAGTTAGTTTACCCAGAGACTGTCAAGTTAGGAGGGATGCCAGACTCCACAGTCTGGACCTGCCCAACACCCCGTCCTGCTTGAGTCCCTCTAACCAAGGGTGGGCCAAACTCAAGACATTTTCTTTTTAATCACCTCCCAGTGTCAGGCAACTAAAGCTTCCATGGCTAAAGGTCAGAAAGTCACACCTCCAGCTTCAACAATTACTAACGATAGCTAGCTACAGGCTGGCTCTCAGGAGTAGTGTGAACGAGATGGCAGTCAGATCCTGCTGATTTCCACTTTATCTGTGCTGGCCACTCCAAACCTCCACTGGTCAGAAGAAAGCAAAAGGAACCCCCAAGACCATTAGTGGTTGAACCAAGACCAGGTGGGTGC